CACGGCCTCTTTAGTGAGATATATAGCTTCATAATTAGCCCGTTGCATTTTTTCATGAGTGCTAGCATCAGCGTTCTACGATGTGTTTCTCTGATTAACAGCTGCTTTGCAACTATTTCCTTGTGCCACCGATGACCATATTTGTCAAGGAACTCCTGACAGAGTACTGATTTCTTACTAAAACGCAGCATTTCTGTTTGAAGAGGGTTCTCTCATTCTCGGCACTGCCCAGCTTTTATAGTCAGTCCTTGTTAAAACTCGAGTTGGCTTTGGTATAATGCTTGTTAGCAGGATTCTGGGTATCTATCTACTTTGGAGTACGAGCTGGGAACCTTTCACAGGCAATTTAATCTTCCGAGCCGCGCACGTGTGGCGCTGCAGCGTTGGAGAGGGGCTTCGGGCCTGCGTGTCGGTCATTTTCTCTTGCCCTCTAGTTGTGATCTTTCTGGGTTAAAAAGGACTTGTCTTTAGTTGTCAGTGTCATTAATTTTTGAATATTTTTAATACTTTCAAATGGCTAATGAATGCTCACATTTTAGGAGATAGACACGTATGTAGCATACAGGAGTGCCGGAATGGGTGACATTCCAAATAAATGTCACTGGAGACAATGCATCAGGTTTACACGTCAGGTGCAAAGTGCTAAGGCTCCCTCCAACCCCAGGTTCTCTGTTAGGCAAGCTCTGCTCTCTCATCCCTCCTCGTGCAGAAAATACAGTATACGTTCTGAAGATTACGGTGTGCAGGTCTTTCGTAGGAGGGTGGAAGGCACCTAGGAAGCATCCCCTCCATGAGCACTGTCAAGAACCTCGCTGCTTCTCACCAGGGATTACTTACCCTACACAACGCGTTTTAACAGCACATAGGTCATCGTAGATGGCCCCTGAGTATACTGTATTCCATTGATTTATACAGTTACAAATCCTGGTCTCTCAAACACAAATCTCTCTCAATTGGCCAATCATCTTGGATCCAAAGGTGTTTTTCAACCTGAAGTCCCCTCTTTTACCCTGGGTTGCTGGCAGTCTCTCCAGTGGAACCACTGCAAAGGCAAGAATTTGCTACTCTTCTTTGCACCTTGGTTTTACCTCTAGCTTCAAATGATGAACAGTGAAAATGATCAAATTTCTCTAAAATCATGCAGTTGATGGTGACAGGGTTGTTTTATTTTGCTTTTTGGGGAAGGGAGGCAGAACATAGGGTCTCAGGAATAGGAGTGTTAGGAAACTTTGCTTCTGTTTTCTTCTGAGTTTGTCATCTTTATTTTTATGAAACCAGCTACTGGTAATTCGAGTGCACTCGTTAAGAACTCTCTCAGTGTGAAAGAAGGGGAAAGGAAAGCCAATTCCCTGTTTGTCACAGACTCAACAGCAAGTGGCTTCAACAACGGCAAAAGGTGCTTTGCACCGGAATTTTTGCTGCACTCCCACAACATGTGCAATAAAGTTCCTGTCTCCGTTTTACATCTTTGACATTGAGGCGGAAGATTTGGCCTGAATTTATGTAATTTAGTTGGGCCCAAATATAACCCATGAATAGTCACATTCATCTCCTAATTAGAAAATCAAACGATAATACAGGACAGGCTGCAGGCACCCCATCATTTCATCCAACAAAAGCGTGTTGTGTGTTGGACCTCTGCAGAGGAGAGTCAGTTGAATTACTTCATGAAGTTAATGAAAAGTGTCCAACAATAGTTGAATGAAAGATGCAAACCGAGTGCACTGTCAGTTACGTAGTGTGTTCAGATCTTTGCATTATGGGGAAAGGTTTGGGGAAATCTTTCACCATCTATGTGTGAATATAGGGCTTATAAAATTCTAGGTTGGACAGGCCCTTCCCCCCAGTTGAAGTGCCGGTTCCTTAGGAAGAGGGAGGAGAAGAGTAAAGAGTAGCTGAAGAAATAATTAGTGAAAGGAGAGAGGTTTTCCTGTGTTCACACTTACATGTAGCTGCTTCTCTGGGTATCTTTCTTATAAAGCACATTATGTTGAGGCTGTTAGCTTGGATGCTTTATATTTTTGCATCTGGCGTAGTGATATCGGTGCTGTTAAATATGTGATTTGCCTGTCGCCTGCATTTTCAGACAAAGATCAAGAGGAACATAAACAAGCCCCAAATATACTTTATGTAGGTGTTTGGCAGTATTATTTTATATGGCTTGAAATTAGTGAATGGAAACTTCAAAAGAAATTGTTCATATTTTTGCAAGTTTGAAGTGTGCCGGGACTTTGTCAAATTCCCGTTAAAATAAATACGTCAATTTCACCTCTCTTCCAAATTCATTTATCTTGCTTTTTTAAAAGGTGTTTTCTACTTTACCTGATGTTTAAATTGGATTCGCTCGTTTATGCTGTTCTTTGCTATATCCCCCACGTTTTTCTTAAATGAATTACTAATGACAGAGCACTCCATCATTCCCTCTCTACAGCCACTTTAAGGAAAGCATGGTGATCTAAACCTTTTAACCTATTAAAGATGATTTTTCCCAATTGAATCAGACCCACCACAGGTGTAATAACTAATCATTTAAACTACACCTGCTATTATGTATTTTTAAGCCATTATGCGTGTTGGATAGATGATAATTCATGTTTATTGCATTGTCCGATGGATCCGTTTTGCCTACACTAGGCTGATTAATGTATTTAAAGAAATGAGAGATGCAATTTTTAAAAAAAATTGATGGAATGCGCCAAGCACTGCATTGAGTGCACCATTAAACCCATCAGAACTTTGCTCTCTGACCAGAAATGCATATACCAAGGACTGTATTAAAAAAGCAAGGTGAAACCTGTGCGTTTTAGTGGTGGGATTCTGCTTTCTTTCTCTGTCATGGAAAATTTTGGAAGGATGAAGGAAAGGTTTACGCTTCTACTGGTGAATGGCGGGAGCTGTGCTATTAGCATCTGTGGCCTAAGACCTGCTTGTCTGTAGTTCTTCTGGCACCTGGTGCGTGGACCATGGCGTGTGGATCCTGCCGCCCGACATGAGTGCCGTTATTGTGTGTTGAAGGTGTATTTTTTCTCCAGGTGAAGAACAATTGTCCCTGAGCCACCTGAGCTATGCAGACTGGCCTTTACCCTGTGGGGCCCGTGGTGGCAGGACTGTCCACCTCTTCTGGGGCTGGGCCTCTCCCCATCTTGTGTTTCCCTTCCCTCTTGGCTGCTTCCCCTTCCCACGTCTATCTCCTCTTTCCTTTTTCTTCTGCCTTCCCTTCTGCTCCGTCTCCATGCTTGTCCATCGCCGCGCCTTCTCCCCTCCCGACCCCTCCTTTGCCCCATTCCCTTTCCTTTTTCTCTCCTCTTTCTTTCCCCTCTCCCTTCTCTTGATTATAACACATCCATTTTGTGGATGTTTGTCATCTTTTTGTTGATTTTGGTGCAGCCCGAGGAGATCTGGCTGAGGGGCTTGGGGGTGCATTTGGGATTCTAGAATCTTGAGCACCTGTCTTTCTCTAGTCCAGAACTGGTTGGTTATCACTGCAGTTCGTGATGGTGGTTAATCTGTTTGCAGTGTTGGACCGATTCTAACCAGTCTTAAAGAACACTCCTCATCGCTGACAGGCCCAGATCGAAAGTGCGAGATACCTGAGTCCATCCTTGAGGGAGAGTGTCTGAGGCAAGCCTCCCATAGGGGGCTCACGGGGAAAATACGTAAGGGAATTGCCCTGGCTTTTTTCTTTCTGATTTATCCTCATATCTTTTGTTACCAGAGAAGTCTGTCTGGCCTCAAGATTAAATTCATATAAAATATGAAGAGAATATTTGTAACTTGTATTCCATTTATAGTCACAGTACTTTCTGCTTCAGTCTCTACAACTGCTACCCTTAGTTTGAAGGATCTTAGAAAACTTCTTTACATCTGGCCCCTTGAAATTTTTTCTTTCAGCAACTTATGAGTGAACTGCAGGGCCTGTTGACTTTCCCTCTACCTCGAGACTAAATTATTCTTTTGGTTTTGATGAGATGAATAATGCCAGTCATTTACAACAGCCCCTTTTCTATGGGGGGCAGGTTGGCATTTCCTGCGCATCGGCCCGGTGTCCGGGGTGGAGAGCAGCCAGGTGGCGTGCAGACACACGCTTCCTGTGTGCTGAGTGAGGTGAAGGGTCAATACCATGAACGGTTTCTCTCCATCCCCTATTTGGCTTCTTTGTAGATACGAAGATTTCATTCAATAATATCATGACCAGAGGTAGGTAGATAATCTGTCAGTCTTTCAGCTTACAGCCATGAAGCCCCAAACTTGGTTCTTTGAAGGCTCTTGAGAATTCAGCTCCATTGCGTAAGAGGGGCCAGTGCGAGTGGCTGTGTGTGTTGTCGCTTATATAACCCTTCCCAGCTGGTATACGCTCAGCACTTTGCCAGGCTCTGCAGAGGCAGCGTGGTCTCTTCCTTCAGATGCTTGCAGCGTAGTTGGGGAGGCAGCCTGCACATTAGAAGACAGGATAATTATGTCTTCAATTGTATGGTACACACGATAAGCACTGAAGAATTTAAGAGAATAGGGAGATCGGAGATGGCTTGCTTGTTTAGGGAAGGCTTCGAGGAATTAGAGCAGCCTACAAAAGGGCTGTACTGCTGCTGTGTGTGTGTAATGTTGACACAGGTAGAGGCAGGAAAGGGGGACCCTCTAGAGAAAGGGCCTAGCATGGGCACGTGCAGGGATGTGGGTACGCATGGCCAGGAGAGGGCTGCCTGCCGAGGAGTGTGAGGAATCCGCTTGAACAGCGAGGACAGGAGAAGATGACTGCAGGTCTTAGAAGCTAGGCTGAGGCGGTTAGTTTTGATAGAATCAGATACAGGAAGCCAGTGAAGGTAGGGAACCAACGTAGGCTCTTATTTAGGCAGATTTTTATATGTGAGAAATAGCTGATTGTAAATTTCACCAGTCTTGTGATTGTTTCTATGGACCTGGGATAAACTTGGAGGATTTTTAATCTTGAAGTGCAGACTACTGAAGTTTGCTTTTCTTCTCTGTTTTATCTCCCCTGCCAGATTGCCACAGCAGTGAAGTTTCTGCAGAATTCTCGGGTCCGCCAGAGCCCACTTGCAACCAGGAGAGCATTCCTTAAGAAGAAAGGTACAGCTTCCCCGTGGCGGTGCAGAGTGGCCTGGGCAGATGAACGAGCTCCTACAGCTGTCCCACTGGTGTTGGGGGGAGGGACGCCCCCAGTGGGAATGATACTTCTCTCCTCAGGGTGGAGCAGAGAGAGGATACAATTCAGATAATTGAGCACCAAGTGTAAGGCCAACAACTTAGCCCAGAACAGCCTGGCACAGGCAGCGTTTGGCAGCAGAAGAGGCCCATTGGATAAGCAGGACTTCTGCTTTCCAGCCTGTCCTTCTGATAATGACCCTGGCTGCAGAACGACTGGCTTTAGGTTAGGAGGTCAGCTGCTTCAGTGAAGAATGAGGAAGAAAGAAATGAAGGATGAGGGAAATGAGATGACTAAACAAGGTCAGGCTAAGGTCAAGCTTGGGGTCAGTCTGATTTACCGACTGAAGTGGTAAATTACTGGTTTTATGATATTTCTCTAAGCAGGGATTCAATAGATCTTGACAAATTCAATATTGTCCAAAGCAGACAGAAACTCTTGGTTTTATTGAAATTTAGGATATTTTTCTTTTTTTGTGAAATACAAAAGAGCTCCAAAACAAAAAAAGAAATCTGACTTTTCATTCTTCAAATGTTTAATTTTCTAAAAAGCTAGGAAGTTGTTTAAAGGCCCTTAAACACCATGAGGGAGGTAAGTGAGGTTTCTTTCCCCCAGACAAAACTCTTTTTCCTTTAGGAGCTGGAACGTCAGCCTCAAAATTCTGGGTTTTGAGCTTTAAGTAATTAGTGGCTGAACTGGAAGACAGCATGGTTTGGTGGTATTTCCTAGGTCTGCCCCAGGATATCCCTCTGAAGCGATGCTGCGGGACCGTGTCCCAGGGCTGCGCTCGCAGGGTTTGGGCAGAATCAGCCCAAGCGATTCATCCACAGGCAGCCGTTTAGAGGCAGCCTCAAGGCCAGTCCCTGTAACTGAGTTGATGAGGGGCGCTGGGCGCTTCCTGGCGGCATCATGCACGCCCCCCATCAATAGGAAATTATTAAAATTTGGAGCGCGTTGGCTGGCTTCTCCACTCTGCAGCCATCATGCCATAAAAGAGTTTTTCCTTGAAATATGTGTACCTATGGGGAGTAATTAATCATAAAAGCTTGGGGATTTCAGCTCTCTCATCAAAGCATTGAAGCTGGGGAAAGCTGAGCCTAAAAGCTGTGCTGATTACCCGGGGTAACCTGAGACAAAATCTATGGTTGCCGAGAGATCCTTCGCCCCAGTATATTGTGCAATATTATAACTGCCTGATCTTCTCTTTCACTGACAGTGACCAGTTATTCCTCATTTTCTCTCAAACGCAACTGGGTTAGAATTTCATTTGCAGAAGGTATTTAGAGCAATTTAGAGACAAATGTCTCTGGTGTTTGCTCGGCACTTCCCCACTGCAGGCTGTGCTGAGCAGTTTGAGTATCAGGAGCTCCATCTAATCTGTTTAATTTTAATAAATCCCTGACTGGGAGAGGGAGAGAAGAAAAAAAGAGAGGCAGAAACTCTGGGCCAAATAATACTTCTTTTGAGTTAGTTGGCTAATAATTACTGCAGAGAATAAACTGTTTTGTATAATTATTATTTGTTGCTCCTTAAAAAAAAAAACAGCCAGTTAATTAATTCAACTAAGAGTGTTTACCCTGTGCCGAGAACAGAACAGACAAAATCCTTGCCCTCCCAGAGCTTAAATTCTATCGGGGGAAGACAGTCAACAAACGAAAAAACAAAACATGTGGTTGTTGGATGGCAGGTGCCACGGAGAAGAAGGGTGCTGGCCTGTGGGCTGGAGGGAGCCGATGCTGTGTGGGAATGGGTTGCACTTGTCAGCGGGGTGATTACACGGTGTCCCTTGGGGAGAGTGACATGTGAGCAAAGACCTCAAGGAGATGAGTGTTTGTTGGTACAGAGCTGGTGTGATTCCTTCATGACCCCTGATGTGCTGTGGGGTCTTTCAATTTTCAGCAGCAGGAAACTTGAGAGGCATCCTGCCTTTCTTCTTCTAAAGAGAACCACTGGAGTTTACCCCGCACTTAAACCTGGAATCACTGGACTTAATCACCCATCTCCATTATCCTCTAAAACGCTACTTCAGTCGGTAATTATCTATTTCCGAGTTGAATCCCAATAGAGTAAGTTCTGGCAGGACCTTTTCTGGGCAGAGAATTCCAAGGTTTGATCGGCGTCTGGGGAAGAAGAGCCCTCCGTGGATTTAAACTTCACTTTTCAAATTTCCGGCTGTTTCGGAGGGTCAGGCGTGCACGATCAGTGTGGCTTGGCACCATCTCTGATGGGTTGGGGTGGGGGGCTTTTGTAAAGGAGCATACCTCTACCCTGTCCCTAACAGTGGTTGGGAAGGAAAGAGAGTCAGCTCACTGGTCTTTGAGGGTGGGGAGCGTGGCTTGAGGGGAGGGACCAAGGCTCTGGCATCCTCCCATTAGTGTCTCCCCATAGGACTCGTTGCTGTGGTGGGTTGGAGCGCTGACTTTGGGCGAGCTCACAGCTACTGTAGTCTTGGCTTTTCCTAGCAAATGTCACTTCAGGGAATTGCAGTGGAGCACTGCCTTGAATTATAATCCTGACTTTCTTTTTTTAATAAACATCTCTTTCCTGAAAAGGCAAATCCAATTTTGTTTTTCTTTTAATATTATTTAATATTTAATATAGAAATTGAGGTCCCTGTAGTGCACGTCAGTTCAGTAGAAAATGAGGGTTACTTTAGACGCATCAGCTGAGTTTGTTTTATTGCGAAGCCGCAGTCCGGAGCAGGGGCTTCGTCCTGCCTCTGTTACTGACAGGTTAAACGTGTGCTGTCTGATTTCAGAGGCCGGGGAGGGCGGGGGACTGAATGGGATAGGGATGGAAGAGGATTGGTTTGCAAAGGTCTTTTGTGTTTGTGTTTTTTTGTTGTTGTTTTTGTTTCTTTGAGATCTCTTTTGGATGCTTTAAAGTCTGAATATGGAGTCACTAATAGAAACGTGAAGTTATTAGAATCGTTCATCATTCTCTTTGAAGCTTGTTCTGCCAGTTTGTGTAGTTTACAACATTTCTTCCTTTTATCGGGAATTTTTGGATGAAAGAGAAAAGCAGCTGTTTACCTTCAGAGTATTAGAATAAATGTTTGTGTTTTCCTTCCAACCACTTGGTTCTGCAGATGACATCGACTGCAGAGTCAGCCACACATGAAGATAATTGGACTGTGTGTGGGGTTTAAGCCCTCATAGAACTGGTCTATATATAGAAGCAGTTCTTGCCAGGCAGGCATCGTATCTGGGGTTGTAAGCAGGCTGTAAGCCAGGAGGTTAGAGTAACTTAAAAACAGCAATAGAAGCAATCCAGAAAGTTAGAGCGTCCAGGAAAGTTAGAGGCTTGGGCGTTGTTGTCAATAGGCTTGTGTTGATTTGACACCCTGTCCAACCACAAAATGTGGGAGGCAGGCTGCTTCCGAACATGTCTGGCAGGCTGAGTATAAGGTGGCTGAAAGTGATGCCTGTTGGTAGCAGGTTTGGGGGTAGATGAGGTTGAGAGGAAGGTAGAATTGTCTGTTAGCTTTCTTTAAAAATCTGTTGCACAACAGGCGTCTAGAAAAAAGATGAGCATCATCCGCTTTTTTGTGTAATGCTGCGTGGTGGGGCCTGGGTGCTGCTGGCTGACCCCTTGGCTCACAGCGCCCTTCTCAAGTACATAAGCAAAGGGCTGCATTCTCCCTCATCCAATAAATAGCCAGGCAGGGGCTGGGGGCAAGGAAAATAAAACACACTACCGTGCTTTCTCATTCTGAAAGGTAAAACAAGATCTTATCTTTCGTCTGTTCCTGGAAGCGGAACCCCCAGTAGCAAAAGTGCCTCCTTGCTGGAAATGAACTTGAGGAAGAAACCTGATGGTCTCAACCTTGGTAGTGGGGTAGAGGTGAAGGGCTTCTCTCACTGGAGTATTTTAAGGGGGAGTGAATTCTTATACAGATTTCAATTTAACTCTCTTTTATTACTTTTCTTTTTTATCATTTACGTCCATTTCATGAGGTAGTTTGCATGTCCTTGAATGGAATCTCGTTACCATGAAAGCTTTTTTAGCATTGATTTCATAACAGTCTTAATTTAATAGCTCCGTCATTACTGAGTAGCTCTGGGAGTGGGGCCCTGGCTTTCCAGGTCACTGACCTTTTAATTACAAACCTTGTTCTGATGGCCAGGTTATCGACTGGACAGCTCCCAGCTTGTGCCCCCAGGATGAAAACGAAAATAACTGTGTTTCCTCCTCCATCTCCAGAAAAAAAAAATGTAACCTCATGTGTTTCTAAAATTAATTTTCTCCTTCAGCTTTGCTTTATAATTAATTCTTTAATGTGTCTTAGTAAAGCCAGAGTATTTTTATAACGCTGTTTTTTCTAGAGCTTGGGTCCAGCAGCTAGCTTAGAGGGGGCGGGGAAGAGGAATGAAGATCTTGCCAGCTACCACCCCGCACTTGAGTGTGGCCCATTTCCTCATCCACAGAATCTCCTGTGGCTGCTCTGGGAAGAGCGGCACTGGCCCTGCGAGGGGCTGCCTGGCCCTTCTGATTCTTTGTGAAAGAGACGTGGGTTGTGGCATTAAGATTGAGATTCACTCCTTTATTTGCTGGAGTAATTGAACCCTAGATATCATGGACATTTTGAAGAAACGTTCCCATTCTGAGAGAAGACCAGGGTTGGATGAATTTTCTTCTTGTGTCTTACCACTCTGTTGGTCTTAGGTGACTGGAGGAAGCAGGGACTCTCCACGTGGGGTTCTGCTCAATTGGGAGCCTGAACTCTGTCGGTTGATGTAGGTACTTTCCCACTGACGATGAAGAGGGAAAGAAAAAGGAGAGGACAGTGGTCACTAAGTAGGGGTGACCATCGGTTCTGGCTTGCCCAGGACTGTCCTGGTTGTAACACTGGAATTCTCACGTCCTGGGCAGCCCTCCAGGCCTGGGCAGACAGGTCCCCCTAGCTGTGCAAGCTTTACTCAGG